GACACAATCGTCAGCATCTCTTCACTGCAGCCCAAATGGACGGACATGATCAACATCTTACACAGCATGGGCTCCAGAGGGAACTCGGCCATCTAGGATTTAAAGAATGTTGAAGCAGAAATAAATAAATAAATAAATAAATAAATAAAGCAGGCGGGAAGGTCAACAAGGTTACAGAAGATCTAAAGGCAGAACTCACCCTTCTCCCGAGCCGTGTGAGTAAGCCCTCATCGTCCAGAGCTCCCAGTGTGTACAGCTGCTCCATGGCTGTGATCAGCGTCTCCATGGGAGGAGCGTCCATGAAGTCGAAGGACAGGAGGTCATTGATGCCCATGGCCTGGCAGAGGGAAGACAAATAAAAAACATAAGTCGACAGAAACTTAACACAACACAAGATGAATAATGAAACGAATCGGACCTTCAGAGACAGCACCGTGCTGGCTAAGTTAGTCCTCTGGATCTCAGGCACGTTGGTGGTCAGCATCTCATCCCTGTAGGCTCTTTCAGTGTAAAGTCTGTAACACTTCCCAGGACCGGTTCTGCCGGCACGACCCGCCCTCTGCTTGGCCTGAGCCTGAAATCAAGTTCACSATTGRTTTRATTTTAATGTCTCTGATGAATTTATCTGAAAACTTCCATTGTTCTCTTCTAATTTAAAAAAAAATGGGAGCCTTTACCTGTGAGATGGGCGTCACCACCAACTGGTCGATGCCGGTCTTTGAGTTGTACACTTTCTGCTTGACGAAGCCAGGATCCACCACATAATAAATCCCATCGATGGTCAGCGAGGTCTCTGCGATGTTTGTAGCAATAACAACCTGAAGAGGAGAACAGGTTTGGTTCTAAAACCACTTTGTTCATGAGATTTTAAAAATGAATATTAGATGCTAAACATACCGGCACAAAAAAAATAGTTCATATTTTAGGATTAAATAAAGCCAGATTAGAGAATGAGCATGTTCCCGAAGAAAACACTCAGAGGTTATGAATGGTGTGTGTAAAAACAAACATCAAACAACTACGTGAGTGCGTCGACTCTTTGGCTTCAGCTTTAATCTGATGGAAATGTCCACAGTATTTATTGCCTAAWTTATTAGGCAATAAATTAATTTATTCACTAATTTATTGCCTGTGGGAATTTCTAAAAACCTGATTTGTGGTGATTGTATATATACATGTACAATACCCGCAATCCTGCTAGGCCTGTCACGATAAACAATAAATTAATATAAATTAAAATGAGAACAATAATTTTCATTTGACTGCTTGTTTGTTTTCTTCTTGTCTCCCTCTTTTCTTCTGCTAAGTGTAGAAAAGAGTGAACTCTGGCATCAGGTATTTGTGGGTTCATGGTCTGTAATCTCTGTAGCATGAGGGCCCTGTGAACAGGCATTAATCTAGAGAAGAGATCCTTAACCTATGGGCCACGAGCGCCACCTTGAGGGCCTCAAAAGAACAACAGTTTTTAACTTTGGGCCGCAGAGGGCCG